ATGTGGTGCTGGGGGATTGAACTGCGGTCCCTGATGCTTTTGCTAAGCTTGTTCTAAGTAGGTGCTTTAGACCACTGAGCCATCTCTCCAGCCCATTGTGGTCATTCTAACAGCATTAAAACAATGTCTTAGCTGGGTGTGATGGTGTGAACTTGTAATCCAACACTCAGGAAATAGGAGGAGCACAGCAAGTTCAGGGCCACCCGGGGCTACACAGTGAATCCAAGGCCAACCTAAACTACATAGCAAGGCCCTGTCTCTTCCTAATAATTAATATTTTTATATACTTGATGGCCATTCTATATATTCTTTGAAGAACTAATTAAGTACCATGTTTTTTTGAGACAAGGCCTTTCTATGTAGTGGCCTTGGACTCACTTTGTAGCCTAGATTGGCCTCAAGCACATGGCACCCTGCCTCAGCCTCCTGAGTGCTGAGATTACAGGAATGGATTATTTGCTGGGACTACAGGACTGGGTTATTTGGCTTTCTGTTGAGTTCTAGATCTTTATATACACTGAATGTTAACTCCTTATCATATATGGTCTATACATATTTTCTTCTAGTCCCTAGGGTATTTTTCCTTTTTTTTTTTTTTGGTTTTTTTTTGTTTTTGTTTTTTTCTTTCTTTTTGTTTGGTGGAACCGGGATTGAACTCAGGCCCTTGTGCTTGCCAGGGAAGTGCTTATTCCACTAAGCCATCTCCCCAGCCCCTGCTAGGGTATTTTTATACTGTTGTTTTCCTTGTTATGCAAAAGCTTTTAAGTTTGATGTATATCATTTGTCTATTTTTGCTATTGTTGTCATGTGGTTTTGGTGAATTTGTGAAATCAAGCAGAACTCAATGTCATGTAGTTTTCACCCTATATCATTAAGAATTTTGCAGTGTTAAATCTCGTAAATACATTTTGAGTTGACTTTTGTATGTGGTACAATCTAAGAGCCCAGCTTCATTCTTTTGGATATACAAATCCTGTTTTTCCAAAACCATTTGTTGAGACTATCCTTTTTCTCCATTCTATAGCCTTGGCACCTTGTTGAAGACCTTTTGGCTATATATGTGAAGATTTATTTCTGGGCTCTATTTTTATTCTGGTGGCCTTTATGACATCATTATGGCAGTACCAAGCTATTTTGATCAGTTTATCTTGGATATATATGTTTCCCACTTTGTTTTTCTTAAGATTGTGATTGTTTTGGCTATTCTTTGAAATTCCATATAATTTTTTTACATTTCAGCAAAAAAAAAAAAAAGGCATTTAGGATTCTGATAAGGATCTCATTGCATCTGTAGATTACTTTGAGAAGTATGAACATTTTAACATTCTAATCTATGAACACAAGAAATTTTTCCATTTACTTTTGCCTTCTCAACCTCCTTCAGCATTGTTCTGTAGTTTTCAGAGTACAAGTCTTTCATACTCTTAAGTTTATTACTAAATATTTTATCCTATTTGATGCTACTGTAAATGGGATTATTTTCTCTATGTGTGTCTCTCTTGGGGATTGAACTTCAAGCATGTTAAACATATAGTTATTACTTGAACTACACTTACAGTTGAGACTGTTTTAACTTCCTCTTCAGATTGTTCATTGTTACATTGCAGAAATACAACTGATTTTTGAGCACTGCTATCATATTCTACATTTATGAATGTGTTTATTGGTTTTCTGAGGGCTTTAGGGTTTTTTTCTTTTTGTGGAACCGGGGTTTGAACTCAGGCCCTGCGCTTGCCAGGGAAGCGCTTTTTCTACTGTCATCTCTCCGGCCCTAGGGTTTCTCTATCCACTATGAAGAGATCATTTTAATTTTTCTTTCCCAATTTGGTATCTTCTACTTATTCTTCTTACCTAACTGTTCTGGCTATCCCTTCCAGTACTTTGTTGAATGAAAGTGGTGAAAATGGGAATCCCTGCTTTGTTTCTGACCTTAGATGTAAAGCTTTTGGATTTTCATCACTGAATTCCGTGATGTTAGGTTAGTCTTTTGTTGAAATATGGGATTTACAAGAGGAACAATACAGGATACAAAATTTATAACAATTATTTTAGAATAGTCACCCAAAGAGTCATATATAAAGAGTGCAGGAAATCTGTCCACACACTAAAGACCAAAGACTCCAGCTGAGGGTGTGGACCCCATGGCAATGTCCTGCGTGAGTTCAGCTGAAGACCTAGAGCCCGTAACAGTGTCCTCCATGAGTCCAACTGGAGACCAAGAGCCCACAACATCTCATGCAGAATGGTTTCAGAGATCTGTGCTGGGAAGGCCCCGAAGTTAGTAGTGGAAGTTAGAAAGTCTGTACCAGCAGGTTGAAGGATCTGTACTAGCAGGCCAAGGGATTTACACCGGAGCCAGGAAGCGACACTCAAAGTAAGGACTAGAGCACCCTCAAAGAAAACCACAGGGGCCGGGGAGATGGCTCAGTAGAATAAGCGCTTGCCTGGAAAGCACAAGGGCCTGAGTTCAATACCTGGTTCC